GAAAGACTGCAAACAGACAGAAGATATTGGCCATATTTTAGTGGATTTGTTGGAGCTATGGATGGAGTTCATGTATGTGTTAAAGTGAAGCCTGAACTAAAAGGAATGTACTGGGATCGACATGATAGGACATCGTTTAATATCATGGCAATATGTGATCTAAATATGTTGTTTACATATGTTTGGAATGGAGCACCCGGATCTTGTCATGATACAGCAGTTCTCACGATGGCACAAGACAGTGATTCTGATTTTCCTTTGCCTCCACCAGACAAGTATTATGTAGTAGATTCTGGATATCCAAATAATCGAGGTTTTTTGGCTCCCTATAAATCTTCTCGGAATGGGGTTATTAGGTATCACATGTCTCATTTCAACAACGGTCCTCCTCCTAAGAATAAACAGGAGTTGTTTAATCGATGTCATGCATCTCTACGTTCTGTTATTCAAAGGACATTTGGAGTTTGGAAGAAGAAATGGAGGATTCTGAGTGATTTTCCCAGATATGATATTGCAGTTCAAAAAAAAGTGGTAACTGCTACAATGGGATTACACAATTTCATCAGAATTTCAAATTATTTCGATGAGGATTTTGTTGAAATAATGAGAGATACAAATTTCAACAATGAAGATTCTGAAAGTGATCCTCGTGATTTGGAGACAACAAATATGGCTGATGGAAATCATATGATGAACATTAGAGACAACATCGCAGATATGTTATAGGCAAATCATTAAATTATTTTACCTTTGTTTATGTATTTTTTCATTATGTATTTTGATATTTGGTGTAATTTTTATTATTAAAATACATGATCTGTATTTTTTGAACTGTTTTTACCATTCATAACTTCTAAAATAACTTGTTCTACTTGATCTGCATCTCTCCTGCTTGATCTGCCTTGATCTGCATCTCTCCTGCATGATCCGCTTGATCTGCACTTGTCCTGCTTGATCAGCATGATCTGCTTGATATGTCCTTCTTGAACTGCTTTTACCATTCGGAACCTAAGTAGATCGCACACTGGATAATATAGCATCCTGTGTAGGTTCCCATTCAACACAATTAACAAATACTAGCAGTTCGATTATTTATAGTAGTAAAATATTTGACGAACTGCTAGTGGTTCTTGTTTGTATAGACCGCTAGTGGATCATTGACATGCTAAAATTTGGAGTGCTTCAAACTATTCATTTATTTTTGTATTATTTTATTTTATTCATAATAATTAGTAAGGGTGACACTTTATTTCCCCTTGAGAAGTATCATATATTACCAGTTCTACACAGATTTTAAGCCACATTCTATTTTCCCACAAATACAAAGTTCGCATCATGATTCTCCCCGATTACAAATATCAAACTCTATATCTCCAAATCGTCAAATTTAATGGTTTATGTTGGTGAACCAATATTAAACCGAAATAAATCTATTTCAGAAATAACCAAACCCAGTTAAAAATCTGATTTATGACCCGGAAGCATTGTTTTACCCCAACCCTAGTCTTTAAAACTTAAAAAACTCTTAATGTCAGAAACTTGTTTTGCTATAAACCCTAAAAATTGATTGGAGAAATCCATTTGTGAGAGAGAGAAGAGAAATTGAAAGATGTGATTTTTCTGGAGCTTCAAGTGGGTCAATGATGCGTCCAAGGAGACAGATCGTGGGTGTCCCAACTCTTCAATTTTTCGTTTCCTCTAATTCAATAATTTTTAGGGGTTTTGGTGTAATTGAAAGCAATTGGAGGTTTTTTTTTTTTGGGTTTAACTATTTGAAATTTGGGTTCTAATCGGGTTTAAATCAAATTTTAATCAAATCTTAAATGAACAATTTTGGTTGAATTATGATTTCGATTGGGCAACAATGAGTTATGGTTTAATTATGAACAAAAAACCGATTTTATTCCGACTGTATGTCTGTTTTGATCTATAACTTTGACGATGTGGAGATTTAGAGTTCGATCTTTGTAATCAGAGAGAATCGGGATGCGAACTTTATATTTGTGAGAAATAGAATGTGGCTTAAATACTATGTGGAACTGATAATATATGATACTTCTTAGGGGGAAATAGAGCGTCACCTCTAACTAGTATATATATATCACTTTGTTCAGTAGCTATTGCATTTTTCTATACACATCTTTAAAACTGTTTATAGATCTCTTAGTCTTTCTTTTTAAAATAATATTTTTTAAATTGATGTGCAGTCCATTTTTTACATAATTTGATTTTAACTTTTTTGTTATCTATTTTATTTTACTTATATAAGACTAATATATATATATATATATCAATTTATTCAATAGCTATTCTATTTTCTATAAATATTTTTAAAAATTCTTTTACATCTCTTAATCTTTCTTTTAAAAGTAATAATTATTATTTTAAATCATCCAGAAATTAAATATATATTTAATTTTAAAACTCAAAATAATTATAATAGATGTTGAATTAATTTCTTATTATTATACAATATTTTTTAAACAAATTACATTTACTTATGAAAAATAAATAGTAAGAGAAGTTTTTTTACTTATTTTACGTTTGTAGTATTTTTATTCGCTTTTTATCCACTTTTACCATTCGAATATATATTTTGGACCATTGGATCCACTTAATCCACAGTTATATCGCTAGATCCGCTTTCAGTCCGCTAGATTCGTAACGCTCGATAAGTTTTCGCTTTTTGGAACCTTAATCTCTTCATAGTTTTATAGTTCCGAGTCCCAAAATAATTATAATCAGTTTGAGTCGGGATGGAATAAAATTGAAAGTGCAAGGAAACTTTCAAATGATGGGACCGACCATCATATATGTATATGACTGACACCCAAAAATCAACGGTCAAGATTGAACTGAGAAGTTTCCTTACAAGAAATAGAGTGGACAAGTTTTGACCACTTGTCCATTTAATTCAAAACCATATCACTTTCATCATCACTTCTTAAAGTCGTTCTTCTCCTCTCTCCCTCCATCTCACTTCCTTTTCTCACAAGTCACGTTTTCCTACGCGCAAACGAGTTTTTACATCACTAAAGTAGTTATGGATTGTTGCTCCAAAAAAAAAATGGATCATTTGTTTTTTTTCTTACGGAAAATATTTTTGGACAATTTTATATTAGATCATAACATGTTATAACCAGAAAACTTATCAAAAAGATAAGCTGGTCGTATACAATATGCCATATTTGAGGGTAAATACAATATGTATACATCAATTCCCATTATATAACCGAATTCAAAATGAACATGGACTAATCATGTATCCACACGAAAAGTTCGGTTACATTTTTTTGTGTCAATGCCTTCGTATTTGTATGTTCTCAATACTAGTCGAGAAAAGATATACTGTATCCTTCTTGTATTATTTTGCTGTGGTCAAATATATGTGATTAATACCGTCATTACTAGTTGACAAAAAAAATACGATCATTAGAACAACAAAAAAGTACTACGTCTCCCAAACAATCAACAATATTTTGGTGTAGATGTATGGATAAGCCCACGTTTTCATAAAAGTCACATGAATCTTACTCATCCCAAGGGAAAATGTCTAACGAATAGTTAAGAGAGTACTTATGCACCTTACCATCAGAGATTCGACCCCTCTTTTTTTTTTTAACAAACTAGTAATGACGGTATTAATCACATATATTTGAGGGTTGTCGGACCGACCGATCCATTGTGGACCGTGTAAAAAAAAAAGTTTGTTATTGCATCACAGAAATTGCATCATGTATACACAACTTTTTATTTTCACCGAAACAAGTAATAATATAATTGCCTATCCTTTTCATTTTGTTATTCTCATTAATTTCACACAATTTTTTTTCCTAATTAAATTAATATCCTAAATCATATACTATAGTACCTTTGTTAATAGACACTAAACTTGTTTCATCATAGGTAATTTGTTAATTTCATCGTTTTTATTTTATTTTAAACCAATTCACACTTTAAAATATTACAATAGTTAGTAGGACTTATTTGTGAAATGATAAAGAAAAAAAAAATTAGATTTTTAGACAGAAGTTAGAGAGAAATAGGAAGAAAAAGTAAGAGAAAGAGAGAGAGTGATTTAGCTACTGAATGAATTAATGTTTTTTTGTAAGACCATAGAGCCATATTTCCCTAGTTAGTATTCGAAGAGGAATATAAGCAGAAGAGCCATATATACTTTTATTAAATCATTGGTAATAAAAAAAGAAATATATGTCGACCACTTTTCATCTCCGAGGAGCAGACGATTTAATCCACTGCAAATCTCAGCCTTTCATTTTCTTTTCATTGTTCACAATATATTAATTTTTGGGACTGTCGAAAGAATAGAAATATTTCTGTCGATATCCCGAAAGTCTTCGTCACTAGAGAATCTTCGTAGTATTCAAATTAGATTAAAGTATATTATAAATATTTCTGATTTTCGTCAACGAGAGATGGTTTGGAAATTCTGGAGACCAAAACCAATTGAAACTGAAAGAACTCAATTTTCTGAAAAGAACGTTTCCAATAATTTCACCTCAAATTTGTTATCCTATTACGCTACTCACGGAACTTCAAGTTTTAATTTCTCAAAATTAATTACTGTATCACGAACCAGTAAAATATGAACTACTGAAACTTCACTTATACACTAAAAAAAATCTTCTTATACTAGTTTACACTATCTTTATACAAAAGTTATATTATAAATGAATAAGTGCCTAATGAACTACCAAAAAGAAACAAAGCCGCATTTGTTGTCTGTGTGGTCAAAAAAATATGACCCAAAGATTGGACTTCAAATTTCATCTCATTGTCATGGAAAAAAAACTAAAGTTATCAAACATCTCACTGATCGACCATTTGACTATTACTATTACAAAGAAACCCTACAAATAATTGCAGCCACGTGCAGACAAATTGGATTTCATGTGATAAGTCAAAAAAAATCAAAGCCATGGTGTTAGATAGTCCTCACGAAAACGAATATTAATAAATAATCCATAGTATGCATTAAATATCATATAACCAAGCTTTATTATCTTGATCAATACTCCACAACCTACCTCTGACATCTTTTCAATCACGGGCGTGGCCTAAAAGAAACACTTTCACATCTTAAATCCCTCTTCCTCCATCTTCAATATTGAGCAAGATTAAACCGGAAATAACCGGAAAACCACCATGTTCATCAAACTTTTCTTCTTCATTCTCCTCACACAAACTCTCAGATCTTCTTCTCAGACCCTCACCTACAATGGCTTCAACCCTCCAACAGACATCTCACTCCAAGGCCTCGCCACAATCACACCCAACGGTCTCCTCAAACTAACCAACACAACGGTACAAAAAACCGGTCACGCCTTCTACACCAAACCGATCCGGTTCAAACCTTCATCACCAAACTCCACCGTCTCTTCCTTCTCCACAACCTTCGTCTTCGCCATATACTCACAGATCCCAACTCTAAGCGGCCATGGAATCGCCTTCGTAATCTCCCCATCCCCTTCTCTCCCTTCTTCACTCCCAAGTCAATACATCGGTCTCTTCAACAACTCGAACAACGGTAACGACACGAACCACGTCTTCGCTGTCGAGTTCGACACGATCCAAAGCAACGAGTTCGGAGATCCGAACGATAACCACGTCGGAATCGATATCAACGGGTTAAGATCGGTTAAGACCTCACCCGCTGGTTACTGGGATGAGAAAGATACGTTTCGTAATCTAAACTTGATTAGTCGTAAACTAATGCAAGTTTGGATTAATTACGACAATCTTAGTAATAAAATCGATGTCACGATGTCTCCTTACGGTTCCGACAAGCCTAAAAAACCACTCATCACTTACGTAACAGATCTTTCTTCTATTCTACTACAAGACATGTATATAGGCTTCGCTTCTGCAACCGGTTCGGTTATCTCCGAGCACTACGTGGCAGGGTGGAGTTTCCGGTTAAACGGGGAAGAAGCTCCGTTACTGACGGAGCTTCCTCACCTTCCGAGATTCGTGCCCAGACGAATCTCGGAGTTTTATAAAATCGGTATGCCGTTGATCTCTCTGTTTCTGATCTTCTCCGTGATCTCCCTCTCCTTCTACGTCGTGAGGAGGAGGAAGAAGTTCGAGGAAGAGCTCGAGGAGTGGGAAAAAGAGTTCGGTAAGAACCGGTTCCGGTTCAAGGAGCTTTACCACGCGACGAAAGGGTTCAAGGAGAAGGATCTTCTCGGGTCGGGCGGGTTCGGGAGAGTCTACAGAGGGATATTACCGACTACGAAGATTGAAGTGGCTGTGAAGAGAGTCTCGCACGATTCGAAACAAGGTATGAAGGAGTTCGTGTCGGAGATTGTGAGTATCGGTCGGATGAGTCATCGTAACTTGGTGCCTTTGTTAGGGTATTGTCGTAGGAGAGGAGAGCTTCTTCTTGTTTATGATTACATGCCTAACGGGAGTTTAGATAAGTGTTTGTATAATAATCCCGAAACGACGTTGGATTGGAAGCAGAGGTTTAAGATCGTGAAAGGAGTTGCGTCTGGTTTGTTTTATCTTCACGAGGAGTGGGAACAGGTTGTGATTCACCGTGACGTGAAAGCTAGTAACGTTTTGTTAGACGCGGATTTTAACGGTAGACTTGGTGATTTCGGGTTAGCCCGGTTGTATGATCACGGGTCGGATCCTCAGACGACTCATGTTGTTGGTACGTTGGGGTACTTAGCACCTGAACATTCTAGGACGGGACGTGCCACGACAGCGACTGATGTATATGCGTTTGGTGCGTTTTTGTTAGAAGTTGTGTCGGGGAGGAGACCTATTGAGTTGCATAGTGAGAGTGATGATACGTTTTTGCTTGTGGAGTGGGTTTTTGGTTTGTGGGTTAGAGGGAATATAATGGAAGCGAAAGATCCGAATCTTGGTGGGTGTGGTGATGGGTATGATCTTGAAGAGGTTGAAATGGTTTTGAAGCTTGGTTTGTTGTGTTCACATTCGGATCCTCGGGCTAGACCGAGTATGAGGCTGGTGTTACAGTATCTAAGAGGAGACGTGGCCTTGCCGGAGTTGACGCCGTTGGATTTGTCGGCGGGGAATGGGATGAACGTGGGAGGGAGAGATGGTTTTAGTGGTTTAGCCATGTCGTATTCTTCCTCGGTGTTTAATGGGTTTACCGGTGTGTCTTCAATTGCTGATTCTCTACTCTCTGGTGGGAGGTGATTGATGTTGTTACAACATTAGTAGCAACGTATGATTATGCTATTGTTTTGTGTATTTATATTTTAAGGATACAGTTTTGCCTTTGTATATACAGTTTTGCCTTTGTAAGGAGATTTAAGACGTTCTTACAAGAACTTATTATATTCTTTCCATTCCGTAATATATAATGTTTTAAAAGATGGTTGATGTTTTGTAAGATGTTAACATTTCTATGTTCGCTTTAATTTTATTGTTTTTTTTCCAACCAATACTATTTTACTTTTTTTTGTATGATTTATTACATTAATTTGAGTTTATAGTTTTAATAACGTTTAAAGAACAAGAATTTTTTAATTTGTGTACTTTTAGTAATAAAATCTTATACTATGAAACAAAGAGTATAAGATTATGATTGCAATACTTCATACTATGACATTAATGAAACCATAGCAATGAGATTGGAGTCCATAAGGTTTTTATTTGTGATGGGATCAAAAGCCATAGCAATGAGATCACTGAGCAGGACCAAGAAGAAGTGGAACCGGTGGTTCATTCATATCATCACCACGTCTTGCAGCCCAAGCTCTTAAAGGAGGTTCAAAGCGGTCTCTAACAACATCAGGAGCCATCTCGTCATCACACGGGAGGTAAACCAAACCTCTCTCTCTTAGAAGTGACGGTTCATCGTAACATACGGTCCAAAGAATATCTACTAGTTCTCTTTCTTCTCTAGCTGCATAAAGATCTTCCTCAGACATTGCAATGATTCTTCTGGTTCTCTCCTCAAGAAGCTGTCTTAGATTCACATCAGCTCTGTCTAGATTTCTCTCGGATTCTTCACGGGAAAGCTCTAAGAGACCACGAAGGGCGAATTCACGGACTTCAAGGTCTTGGTTTGATGCTAGGTGGATCATTATGCGAGGGAATCCAAGATCTCTAACGATTCTACAGTCTGAGTTGCTTTCTTGGAGAAGATAGTGAATCAAGTTCAACGCTTTCCTGAAATGGAAAGAGTATATAAACATCATGGACTAAAAGAACACTCATATCTAATGCATATTCTTGAGATCTTTATGTGGACATAGGTAAATACAATATTGGTTTATACACACCTTTAAATTTTAAGAAATAAATTATATACACATACAAAATTGTTAATTTTTTAAAAAAAATATTTGCTTATAGTTCATAAAATCTCATAACCGGTTCTGATTTTACCATGATTCCAAAATTCAGTTTAATTTTAAATCAATATAAATTAGTTTAAATCTGTTAAATTGAGAAAAATAGTACAAATCTACAAATTGGTTAATTTCGTTTATTTTCTATATCTAATTTTTGATAATTCATCAACACAATTTTATAAGTAAACTCAAAAACTAAAAAATATACTATTAACTTTCTGTTATTTTGTACATTCTCTACAAAGAGCTTAGTTAGTGTAAACATTGGATCTTACCTTTGAAACCTGACGGTATCAGAGACCAGAGCCTCTCGCAAGCCAGCGTAGCCATTTGCTAAACGAAAAGCTGTAATCCCTTGTTGGTTGTGACGGATAAGAGCTACAACAACAAAGACACTGTCAAACTTCTTGTCCCTAAACAAGAAGCTTAGAGATAAGTAGCTCTCTTACAAGATATAGCACCAAGCGCCTTGGTCCTGACTCTAATGTCATGATCAGTAATAAAATTGGTCAACAAGGGCTCGAAGCCATTTGCTTCCATAACAAGCTGCTGGCTACGAGGATTATTTTGAACAACCGTTGCCAAAACATCAGCTGCTTTGGCTCGAATCTTGGCGTTGGAGTTCTTAAGATAGCTAAGGAGAGGGACCAAACCTCCAATGGAATGAAGATCTGAACATTAAAATAATCCAAATATATCAAAAAGATATTACAAAAAAAAATGGTTTGTGTAAGAGATCAAACCATTGGCTAAATCGATAGACTCAACGTGTTCTTGCAACTCATCCAACATTCCTATCCAAATAAAAAGTACACAAGTTTTTGAAAAAAAATTGATCATACCGTTGGATAAATCAGACATTTGAACAAAGTAAAAGAACCTTCAAGATCCTCTGTTGTGACGCCTTGGGACTCCAAGAGGTGATCAGGCATTTTCATGATTTGAGATATTTGTTTCATACGTGAAATTGAATCGATCGTATGTCCTTGCATTGCTTCCATGAACCATTGTCTATCTTCCTCACTACCAATAACACATTTTAAAAAATTTAAAAAAAAATCGAAATTAAAATAATTGTGATCAAACAAGTACACATTAATCATCCTAATCCGATCAAGAAAAAAAGCAAAGATCTTTCAATCTAAATGATCTAATTAGAGTGAAAACAGAGCTCTACGGACCTCAAAGGGCGAGAAGGGGAAGCACCATCGGAATGAGAGAGGCTCCATTTGAGTAATCCGTCCCAACTGGGTCCATTATTCGCCATTTTACGCTTTTTGAAAAAGAAAGAAACAAAAAAATTCAGAAACGGAAATTTGTGGAAGGTGAAGATCGGAAGAGAATGTTACTAATTTATTACACGAACACGGAGATATTTTTTTGTTATGGATAGACCAAACACGTGGTCAAGTTGCAGAGATAAACCAATCACTTTATCGGTTAAGGCGGAACGAGTGAGAGGGACCCACCATGTGTAAAATTAAAAACGGGTTTGATTCTATTGGATCGCGGGTCCAAACCGTCCTAAAATGTATGGCCCAATGAGGAGAGGAACGTTAGCAGCATTTGCAAAAGGTTGTATGGTTAATCAAAGTTTAAACTTAAACTGAATTCATCTTATGCTTTTTATTACTAACAGGTACGTGGAGTAGTATGTTACATAACTTAAATCAAAGTTTCCAAACATATTAAGTTGGATTCTCAAATAATATAATTTTTTACAGTTATAAGATGTAAAACTTTCCAAAATTTAAAAATGCTATAAGCAGAACTGTTCATTATCATTGTGTGTTGTACATATCGATTATATAATTATCAAATGTAAAAATGTAAATATTCAAAATACATTATGAGAAATAATGTTATGAGAAAACTATGGTTAAATATTATCAAATGTAAAAATGTTCATGAAAAGAGGAAACTCGTAAATATTCAAAATACAATTCACAGTGTATGCAACAGACGCCACCATGGTGATGCCTTCAATGCAGCTCACATAAAGTCTCAGAATCGATTTGTATGTATGTATGTGTTTGCAAAAGAATGTATAAAGCTGTTGCTTTGTTTTATTTCTTTCTTTCTTAACTTTCTTTCTTGTGTTTGATCATCTTACATTAGATCCTCTTATATAGGTAATCGAAAATTTATCTTCATTCTATTACCTAATGATCTAGGAATCTTAACTTAACTTATCATTATCCTAAACCTTATTAATATATAGTTATCCAAATTTCTTTAGGATAACTGATAGATTATACCAAAAGAATATTCTCTAGTTAAATTTGATTCTGCAAAGATCATGGGCAATCCCATATTTGTTGTAACCAACTCTGCTATATATTGACGTGACTAGAACGTAAATCATTCAAGGGAAAACATTTGTCTTGCATGGTATCAGAGGGTTCATCCTGAACCTGTGAATCTCTTCTTCTCCTCAAAATCTCTTTCTCTATCTCTCTCATTTCTCTAAAATGGCACACAACGTGTGCGATGTTGAATGTGCTTTTGGTGTGACTAACATCAAACAACACATTCCTCTAATCCTTGATGATGATGAACACAATTACGATGCGTGGAAAGAGCTCTTTCTCACTCACTGTCAAAGCTTTGACGTTGGTGGTCACTTAGATGGGACGCTTTTACCGGCCAACAACGATGATGAAGCATGGAAGAAGCGAGATGGTTTTGTGAAACTATGGCTATATGGCACTCTATCAAAGAATCTATTCAAGCATACTTTCAAAACCGCTGACACTTCTCGAGAGATCTGGCTACGAGTTGAACTCTACTTCAGAAACAACAAAGAGGCAAAGGCCATTCAACTCGATCATGACATACGCACCAAGGTAATTGGCGACAAAACCAGTAAAGACTATAGCCAAGAACTCAAGTCATTAGCTGATCTAATGTCGAATGTTGATGTTCCCGTCTCTGAGCGAACTCTGGTGACACACATGCTTAATGGACTCAATGCGAAATATGACAACATCATCAATGTCATTATGATGCAACATTTGAAGATGGAAGATCCATGCTGTTATTTGAAGAAGATCGACTCTCCAAGACCAAGAAACCAGATACAAGCCACTCTGACAACTCTTCTGCTGATAAAGTACTTGCTGCCACAGTTTCCAATACCGCGAACAAAAACACCACTGCACCATCATACAACAATCAACGGTCATTCAACAACAGAGGACGTGGCCGAGGCTGTGGCAGAGAACGCAACAACAACCACACTAGACCACATATGCAGCAATGTAACTCCCCGTTTTGGACTCAGAACTATCCATACTGGATGCAGCCACAATTCAACCCATGGTTTCAACAAAGACAGCCACAGTACCAACAACAAGGTCTCCTTGGTCCACGCCCACAACAATCTCAACCAGCAAATCAACCCACTGTCGACTTTTCTTCAGCATTCAATACTATGACGCTTATGGACCCCTCAGACAACAACTGGTACATGGACTCTGGAGCTACTGCTCATCTGGTCAATTCCTCAGGTAATCTCAAGTCTGCTTTTAAATTGAGCACTGGAAAGTCTGTTACCGTTGCTAATGGTTCCACCATTCCCATCACCAAATACGGTTCTGTTTCTTTCCCTACTCAAACTCGTCCCCTATCTCTAAATTATGTCCTTGTTACCCCTTCTATAATTAAAAACCTTATCGCTGTCCGTAAATTTACTAAAGACAATTCATGTTCCACTGAGTTTGATCCATATGGTTTTTCTGTGAAGGTTCTACAAACACAGAGAACGATTCTCTGCAGTGACAGTACTGGTGATCTATATCCAGTTTTTCCACATTTCAATAAAACATCTCAGCCTCCTTCTGTGTTGCTTGTCTGCTCATCCAGCATTTGGCATCAAAGGCTGGCTCATCCAAGCAATGACACTTTAAATTCTTTATTGTCTTCTTCAACTTTGCAATGCAATAATAAAGACTTGCGGAAACTTTGTAATGCTTGTCAACTTTCAAAAAAAATAAAACTTCCCTTCAAAACATCTGATTCTACTGTCACTGCACCCTTTGAAATTGTTCATTCTGATCTATGGACCTCACCGGTTCGAAGTATCAGTGGAATAAAGTATTACGTCCTCTTCCTTGATAAATTTTGTCACTTCCTTTGGGTTTATCCTTTGAGATCTAAAGATCAAGTATTCTCAAAATTCCTTCATTTCTCTGCCTTTATCAAAAACCACTTCTCTACAACCATTAAGTCTCTCCAATGTGACAATGGGACTGAATACAATAATGCTCAGTTCCACGATCATTTTTCTGCCAATGGGATCACCTTTAGATTCTCATGTCCATACACCTCCCAACGGAATGGTCGCTCTGAAAGGATGATCCAAACTATAAACAATGCAGTTCGAAGTCTTCTGTTTCAAGCTCAACTTCCAAATACCTTCTGGGTTGAAGCACTTCTCACAGCTGTCCACATTATGAACCTTTTACCCTCCAAAACCATAAACAACCAAACGCCCTACACCACCCTCTTTAACAAACCGATAGACTAACTCACCTAAGAGTCTTCGGATCCCTTTGCTATCCAAACCAAAACAACCCCACTCATCACAAACTATCTCATCGTTCCTCGCCTTCAATTTTCCTTGGTTATCCACATAATCACAGAGGATATAGGTGCTTTGACCTAAACACAAGGAAAACTATCATCTCACGGCATGTTCAGTTCGATGAGACAACCTATCCATACAAACAACCTTCACCTAAACCAGCCTCTGGTTATCAGTTTCTCTCGAACAATACTGATCCCTCGCCCATGTTTCGTCAAATTCTTCAATCACCTCAGAAATCTCCTACTCCTACTCTTGTGATTACCGATATGCCAACTCAAGCTATTAACACAGCAACTGAGGCTCCAAGGCATCAAATGACCACACGGTCTAAACACGGTATACGCAAACCCAAACAGCTTTTCTCTCTCAATACTCAACATCAATCTCCCCTGCCTCACAGCTATAAACAAGCCTTACTTGATCCTTCCTGGAACAATTCAATGGGAGATGAGTACAATGCAATAGTTAAAAGCAAGACTTTTGATTTGGTACCTAGGCCTAAAAATGCTAATATAATACGCTGCATGTGGCTTCACAAACATAAATATGATGCTAACGGTTTATTCAAGAAACACAAATCTCGTTTGGTTGCTAATGGTAAATCGCAGGAAGAAGGCATTGATTTCACAGAAACATTCAGTCCAGTTGTCAAACCTGCATCTATCCGAACAGTACTTCATGTGGCACTTGCAAACAACTGGCCAATCAATCAATACGATGTGCAGAATGCCTTCCTTCACGGAAACTTGGAAGAAACCGTGTACATGTTTCAACCTCCTGGGTTCGGTGATCAATCCCAACCGGATCATGTCTGCAAACTGAATCGCTCCATCTACGGCTTACGCCAAGCTCCACGGGCTTGGAATCAAAGGTTTGTGGACTTCATCACGAAACAAGGTTTCAAGCAGAGTAAGAGTGATGCAAGTCTGTTTATTTATATGAAAAATGAAACGTGCTTACATCCTATTCTATGTTGACTATATAATCCTCACAGCCTCAACTCCAGCTCTTCGTCAATTAGTTGTCACAGCCATGAAGTCGGAGTTTCCTATCACAGACGAGGGTCAAATCAACTCCTTCTTAGGGATCTCAGCTCTGTTTAATGACAAAGGTCTTTTCTTGAATCAAACACGATATGTAGAAGAATTAATAGAACGAGCAGGGATGGTAGATTGCAAACCTTGTGTCACACCGGTGGATTTGAAGTCTAAACTTTCAGACAAAGAAGGTAAACAACTGGAAAACCCCACGGAGTATAGGAGTTTGGCTGGAGCATTGCAGTATCTCACCTTCACAAGGCCTGATATAGCTTATGCGGTCCAACAAATTTGTTTATTCATGCACGATCCTAGAGACCCTCATCTACAAGCTCTCAAGCGTATCATACGTTACGTTCAAGGCACCAAAACAAAAGGACTGCAACTGTTGAAATCTCAGGGAATGAAACTTACAGTCTACTCAGACGCAGATTAGGCTGGCTGTCCATCAACTCGAAGATCAACATCAGGATTTTGCGTCTACTTGGGTGACAACCTTGTGTCTTGGTCTGCGAAAAGACAACAAACAGTATCAAGGTCTAGTGCTGAAGCGGAGTATAAAGGTGAGGCAAATGCAGTTGCAGAAGCTTGTTGGTTACGTAATCTTTTACTGGAAATGCATTGCCCTTTGAAGCAAGCTGCGATTGTCTACTGTGACAACATAAGTGCAGTGTACCTCTCCTCCAACCCTGTACAACATCAACGCACTAAACACATTGAAATTGACATACATTTTGTGTGTGAAAAAATACAAATGGGTCAAGTTCGAGTTCTTCACATACCGGCTGCAATGCAGTACTCTGACATATTCACCAAGAGCTTGCCAACATCACTCTTCACCAACTTCAGGTTCAGCTTAGGCGTGTGTGAACTCCACGCTACAACTGCGGGAGAGTGATAAATTATACCAAAAAAATATTCTCTAGTTAGATTTGATTCTGTAAAGATCATGGGCAATCCCATATTTATTATAACCAACTCTGCTATATATTGACGTGAATAGAACGTAAATCAAGAGAAAACATTTGTCTTACTATAACTTGTTATCTAAGTTATTAAAGCTTATCCAACATCACATGGTCTCGTTTATTGACATGACTATTAGAAACAGAATTTCCTCTTTACGATATGGGAAACCAGCTTTCTATAGTACAATAATGCAATATTGGTTTCAAAGGACCATTTATCCTTAAGTTTTAGTTCTTTGTTTATTAATTATGGCTTGTGTTAAATTTTTGAAAATATAAACTTCGGTGGCCTGTCATTTTTTCTTTGTTGATATTCAATTTAAAATTTCAAAAAAAAATACAATTTCTTCTGTATGTTATTGGCGAATTATACACTTATACATGCTTAACCATCTATTAGGTAGACATGGCAAAACCAAACAAAACAGTAATTAGCTTGAGATACAATAATCAGTTCTACTATATCATCAACAAAGTTTTCTTCAAAAATTTAAACTACTTTCATTCGTTTACAGTTATCATTCATTTATCTATATTCTACTAGTTCTTCTAATGTTTAACCTCTAAAAAATATTTTATAAATATGCTTATGGTAAAAGAAAATGTTCTTAATGTACTGAAATTGGTACATCACCGCCACCACCAGTCAATGACATAAAGAGAATCTGATAAATAATAAAAGACACAAAATTGCGGTCAAAAGAGAAGAGAACAAACAAAGAAAAGATATTACTACCTCATGTAATAGAGAATAGTTCCAGCGCTATGAGAGCAAATAAACTTATAAATAAATAATTAAAGACGATTTAAAAACACTTTTTGATGTCCAACGCTTTGATTATAAATAAGGTAGTTGAAATTATTATTTCTTTAAGTCTTTGCATTTTGACATTTTGATGTTGAGTTTTGATCTTGTACAAGCAAATGATATTTTCCAAAATTGAATATATGTATTCAAATGTTAAGTTTGAATGTAACTTTAGTCGTCGACTCTTAATTGTTCAACAAAAATATAAGACCAAAAATTAAAGACAACTAAGCATTACTAAGCAAACTAAGCATTAAACCGAAAATCGATTAAAAAAAAAAACTAAGCATTAAACCGAAAAACGATTACAAATGGTTCATGGTAAACCGAAGCTTTTCACCAAAACCGGAAACCCAGTTTTGGTTATCTAAAGAAAAATCGGTTTACTGGTATGATTAGGAACCGCGTGACACAGATTTGGTCAAAACCGTTGACTAACTCTTTTCCTTTTCTCATTTTCAGACACAATCTGCAGAAGATAGTTTCCTTCTTGTCTGAAGAAGAAACTCGCTTAAAAAGCTCAAAAAGTCCAAAACCGATTTAAAACCTTAATTCAATCTTAAAATCTCTCGAATTTCGCTCAAAGCTCGAATCTTTAAATCTTTGCTTCCAATGGGTGAGAAGGATTCAGAGACAGCTCCGATTTGGGGCAAAACCAAACAGCGAGAGAGCAGCAACACCATCAACCCTATGGATGTAGAATCATCTACTCAATCGCATCAACCTCGATCACAACCTCGATCACAATCTCGATCACTATCTCGATCGCTGAGTCGGTTTCGAGGAGGTTCTTACGCAGAAAGAGGAAGAGGAGTCAAGGAGTTTCGTAGCTGGTTCTCTTGGCTAATCCCTTGTTTCGTGATCGCTAACGTTGTCTTGTTCGTGATCACTATGTATGTCAATAACTGTCCGAAGAAATCTGGAGATTGTTTCGCTGGTTTCTTGGGTCGGTTCTCGTTTCAGAGCACTAGTGAGAATCCTCTTCTTGGTCCTTCCTCTCTCACGTAAGTGTTTTGTTTGGTTCCTTTTTACTTGGTCTCTGTATTGTTTTTACCGAGTCAACGATGTGGTTAAAACAGGTTAAGAACAATGGGTGGATTAGAAGTGAAGAAAGTGGTTAAAGGAGATGAAGGATGGCGTTTGATTTCTTGCATCTGGTTACATGGTGGAGTTGTTCATTTGCTTGTGAACATGTTGACTCTTTTGTTTATTGGTATGCGTATGGAACGTGAATTTGGTTTCAGTAAGTACTCTCTCTAGTGCTATTTGTTACATACGTTTGATGAAATGTTTGTGTATAACCTATGGTTTTTATACTTGTTTAGTACGGATTGGATTGCTTTATTTGATATCGGGGTTTGGAGGAAGTATATTATCAGCTCTTTTCCTCCGGTCAAACATCTCTGTGGGAGCATCTGGTGCTGTGTTTGGTTTACTTGGAGGAATGCTCTCTGAGATTTTTATCAATTGGACTATCTATTCTAACAAGGTACTGATTGTGACATCATAATTAACTCTTGTATAATTGAAATATCGTAACTTTATAATGTTGTTTGTTAATGTTTTTGTATAGGTTGTGACGATTATAACTCTTGTAATAATTGTGGCTGTAAACTTGGGACTTGGTGTGCTTCCAGGAGTTGATAACTTTGCTCACATTGGTGGTTTTGCTACCGGTTTTCTTCTTGGATTTGTGCTTTTAATCCGTCCTCATTACGGATGGATCAATCAAAGGAATGCTCCTCTAGGTAAACCGCACAAGTACAAGATGTATCAGGCCATATTATGGACCTTGTCTCTTCTCCTCTTACTCGCTTGGTAAGTGTGTTACATTATATAAACAACAAACCATTTTGTTTTGTTTATCCTATAGTAATAATCTTGTCTCTTTTGAAACAACACTAAAAACCGGTTTGTTTTCTTGGCAGGTTCATTGGCGGTTTGATCTCTCTTTTCAACAATGTGGATGGGAACAAACATTGTTCATGGTGTCATTACCTTTCATGTGTTCCAACTTCTAGATGGAGCTGTAACCGAGAACCAGCCTCTTGCACTGTAATAAGTTCTTGATAGCTATTGTCATTACATGGTTTCTCCCAGCCTTGGATAGAATCTCCTTTTAACATTTATGTTTTTTTTTTGGCATGCAGACGATTCAATTAGGCAACCAATTGAGCATGACTTGTTTGAGGAACGGCAAGTCTGGATCTTACATTTTGGCTAATCCATCTGATTCACGGATTAATAGCTTATGCGTTCAACTTTGCCGTTGATTTTACTTACTGGTTTTAGAGAAACACACATTCACATTTCATTGTATCTTCTTCTTCTAAAACTTTCTTTTCTTGCTTGCTCTGTATATATCTTATAAATAATACTATGTTTTCCTGAATTATATTTGAGTCTTGAGATCTCTGGTAAATTTTCACATGCTCGTGTTTGATCCTGTATTTAGTAAATTTGCATGGGATCTGTTTAGAGTTTTAGAAGAAACTTTCATTGCACACTGAAAAAAACAAAAGTGTAATACTCGCAGCCAAACTCAGTTTTCATTGTCTTTGAGTTCATGTTATTTTGTGCCATAGTTAATCTTCTCGGCCATGTGAGTTCTAGATATTCAAAAAGGGGAAAAAGATAAGGCAACCGTCGCCGTCTGTGGGGATCGAACCCACGGCCACGGGATTAAAAGTCACGCGCTCTACCACTGAGCTAAGACGGCTTGGTTGCTTTCTCTATTAATAAATTAATAATATTTTATAGGAAAACCGGTTATCTATTTAGTTTAGTTCTATAATGTCTGGTTTAGCTCTTTGGTTTACTAAACGCTATATGTAATCTCTTTCTCGTTTTACGGAAAATCAATCAAACATTAAAACAATCTTCTTAAACTCCAATCTCTCTGTTCATCATCCACCATTAAGAATCTATGTTTTTTGAGATGATAATTCTTCCTTCGTAGTAGTCCTTTAGGTTTTGATTTACCGGTTCTCAAGCACGCGGTGAGCTTCTTGATCGGATCTATCGGTTACTGTCTCACAATAACATTTGTTAACGACAGAATCTCAGTAATTGGAGAGAGAGGATAAAAAAGATTTATAAGTTTTAGTCCAAAACTTAGTAAAAATAATAATAAGATAATAACCACACTAGATAACCAAGTTCACAATCACATAAAGTTTTATTAAACATAGATCTTTAAAACGAGTTAAAAACAGCTACCATGCATTTCTTCTACCTTTCCTGATAGAAAGAGATTGAAAAATCATTTTCTTCGAACTTAGACTTGTTTGGTGTAAACAGTATTGTTCATGTGCTATATAGATTTGGAATGCTATGTTTTAAATTTTGTTTTATCATTTTATAAAGACAAAGTTTACTGTCTTGAAGACCCATAAACACGTTGTAGAGTCTATTGGCATGGAGACCGTCAGCATTGCAGAGTAGATGTCTGACAGAGAAAAAAGTTGTGTCGGAACTAACAAATCTTAGGTGGGATATCAAATGTGTATAGCTCATTCACAAACAAATCTTAGGTGGGATATACTTCTACATTGCTATTATTGAAGCAAAAAGTTCTTGTAGGAAATTTGGTTGGAAGATATAAATAGAGAGCGGGAGTGGATGTAAATAGAGCGCATGACGTACTTGTCTGTACTGCATAAAAAAACTCTCACTCACACAACTCTTAGTTGGAATTGTAACAAAATTTATTGATAAGAAAAATGATTTTTTAAACAGTTCCGATCAGAGAAAAAAAAAGAGCAGAGGTTTAGATCAGAACTGGAACTGCATCTCTGGAGAGTAACCAAGAGCTTCAAGGTTTGCAGCCAAGGCCTTGTTCATGGGCGATGGTCAACATCTTAGGATCTGCGTTTCAAAGATAAGCAGAAAACAGATTGAAAAAAATGCTATTTTCTTTACTCAAAATTACATTTTTTCAAATGGCTTATGTTCACACCTTGAGAGAATTGATCCGAGATTTTATTTAATAAACAGTGAGATGATCAGGTGTGTTCAAGATCAAGAACAGAGGAAGGGTCTTACCTGAATATCAGATGCTGGTGCAGGGCAATGAGCCTGGATCATTTCCTTGGTTACAAACCCAACACCACCATCCCATACCTCCGGAGGCTAATCACATTGCCACAGAAGATAAACCAAAGCACCAAGAGGATACAGGTATCAGAAAGAGTTTTTTTTTTCTAATGTATTTACTTGAGAGGAACGTCAAACACATTTGGATTTTGTGGCTCACCTAGTTCAAAACATAGTAGATTTTGAATTAATCTGGGTAATTGTTGATAAAACTCTCCAACTCTTCCTGAGGAAAATGAATATTGTTGTCTATGGAAACGAAAAGCTTGTTCTCGGCACATAAGAAACATCAGGTGAGAGACATTTTTACCTTTAAGAGAATGTCATCGTATGTGACATTAGCATAAATGAGGTGTACTTTTATCTTGTCTGTTGGGTTTTCAAGTATCGCTCTTGCAATCTTCACAAATAAAAAATAAAAAGAGTTTTAAACATATACATTGGCTTCGAAAAAACGATGCAAACGTATGAGACATACTTGAAACATGGGAGTGATGCCTGAACTACAGCAAGCATTCCAAATGACCTAAACTGACCTGTCTGATACTTGAACCCTCCCTGCCAAGTAACAAAACAAAAAGTTTCGAGATTCAAAGAAGAAGTACAGAATAACAAATTTCATAACATGTGCGTTATGAAATTTGTTATTTCATCTACTTGCCAACTAGAATTTCCAGATATTCTACGCACCTCCCTAGAATGATGAGACATCCTTCCTTGCGGATACATCTACTTGCCAACTAGAATTTCCAGATATTTTTAGCTGAATTAGTGAGACTATATTTATAAAAAAAAAAAAGAGTCAAGTCAAGTTGAGAGAGTAAGCATATACACCTTAACTACAAGTTCAAAACGTCCAAGATCAGAATATATGGTTGTTGGAGTGTAAGGCTTAATAACTTCCTCTCCCTGAGCATCATTTCCCCTGTGGATAAACTCATTATATTTTATCAAAGCATCCATCAAAGCTCAATTTTACAAATGAGTACGTTCATAGGAGAGAGCATGAGATAAAGAAGGAAACCTGCCATTCGGTGGTTCAAAGGGCGGCATGAAGGTCCCTGTGGAGCTGATATTACCGATCCAACCTCGTCTCATCTTCTGAGATTTAAAAAAAAAACTGAAATAAAGGAAGCTAGAGAGAGTAATAACCGATTTGAGGAACTGGAAACAGTAAAGTAATAAATGATTCAAGGAATCAATCAGAAATCAAATTGTCAAAGAAAATTAGAAACTATAAAAATAACAATACAAAATCTCAAAGTGATTTGCAAAGAAATATCACCTGCGATGTATATATTCTTCTGTGTGCCTATGAGGTTAAGCATTCAGAGAAATATGGAGCCAGAGGAGTGACTACAAGCACCAACCTATAGAGCTCCCTCATATTCTGAGCAACTGCCATTGTGGCAATGCTGGAAAAGAGAACCCATCAGCAACGGAATAAAAAGGTAAAGAGAAAGGATCTAAAGCAGTATGGGAAGAGATAAAGAAGATCGAAAAAGTCAATGCTGGTACCTGTCAAACATGCCTAACGGGTGACATTTCTCGATCAACTCTTGAACATCTCTCTCGTGGAGGGTTCCAATAACAATCAGCACAACACTGTGTTACAGTATTACGGAGGAGGACAGTTATCATGAGAAGAGTGGGTAGATGGGGAAGTTGTTAAAGTTGTTGAAGAAATAAGACGAAGCCAATGCGGGAGTGACACGTGGATTGTCAGTTAGAGAAAGAGTTTGGCGAGTTGACTCACTGAGTCTTTTATATACAGAAGTTTCGTATTGTTGCAATTCATTCAGAAAATCAAGTGTAAAACTTTGGGTTGTAATTCTAAACTCGTTTCGATACTTATCGTCTAAAGAATTGTTATCTTTTACATTTGGATCACCAATCGTTGTTTCTTGAACGGCGACTTGGAAGTTCATATCGAGAATCATCGGATTATCGATATCAGTGGTATCAGAGCTATTCGACCTCGGCAACAATGGCGGAAACTCGTGCACAGACGACGTTGAGAGAATTTTCGATACGTGACGTGGAGGAGAGCTTAGCGACTCGATTACAACAAATGATGGAGGTAAACGCTGCAGCTCAGAATGAAAAAATTGATCGGAGTATAGCAGATATGTGTGATGCGGTTAAGATCATGATGGAAAATGCGATGAATATGATACATGCTTCGACGAGTGGTGAAAACGATCGTCACGGTAAATCACCGTTGGCATCGTCGACGCCAGATATTCAGGCGGAGCATCATCACAATCGTAATCATAACGGCGGTCATCATTACTCGAGATTGACGAGATTAGGGAAGGTTGATTTTCCTCGTTTTGATGGTACTAAAATGATGGAATGGTTGGGTAAAGCAGAGCAGTTATTTGTTATTGACTTTACACCGGAGGATTCAAAAGTCGGTATTTCTTCTTTACACTTTGAAGGTTTAGCATCGACGTGGCATCAGGCACTGATGCAGGAGGAAGAAGGTAGAGCTGTTATGGGGAGCTGGAGAGCCTATAAGGTGTTGTTTAAAGAACGTTTCGAGGAGGTTTTAGATTATCCTATTGCTGAGTTGAAGGAACTAAAAGAAACGGAAGGTATCACGGAGTATCATGCACAATTTGAGTTAATAAGATCTCGTTTGAATATGTCCGAAGAGTATCTGATGAGTGCATATTTGGCGGGGTTAAGACTTGATACTCAGATGCATGTTAGGAGGTTTGGACCTTAGTCATATAGACAGTGTTTGGTATTGGGAAGATTGTATGAAAGAGCTCACCCCAGGAAACCAAATACAAACTCTTGATTGAGCAACAAGAACCAAACGAATGTGACTGGGAAAGGGGTAGTACCATACAAGAAGGAGGTTGAGAAGAAGGAGAATGATCCACCGTTGAGAAAATTCTTAACAAATGCGGAGATGAGTGAAAGAAGATCGAAAGGATTGTGCTATTATTGTGATGAGAAATTCACTCCTGAACATGCTCTTAAGCATAAGAAAACACAGTTATTCATGGTCGAATTGGAGGACTTGAGTGGGGAGTTAGAAGAAGTGAAGGAGAGTGTTATTGAGAGGACATAAGAACAAGGAATAGCTCAAATATCTTTGAATGCTGTTTCAGGTCAGACAGATTATACCACAATGAGAGTTTGTTGTACGCAAGGAAAGAAATCTCTATATGTGTTGATCGATACTGGATCAACACACAATTTTATTGACCAAAATGTAGCGAAGATGTTGAACTGTAAGGTTGAGAAGTCCTTAAGGTCTAAGGTGGCTGTAGCAGACGGAAGTAAGATCAACATTTGTGGGAGGGTTGATGAGTTTAAATGGTACTTTCAGAAGCACCATTTTCAGAATGATTTCATGATTATACCATTGGGATGTCATGATGTAGTGTTGGGAATTCAATGGTTGCAGAAGTTTGGTCCCATAACTTGGGATTTCAAAGAACTTGAGATGCAGTTCAAATCGGATAATAGGAAGATTACATTACATGGTATTAAGCCTGGGTCAGTTCGGGAAGTGAAAGCTAAGCGGTTGGAGAACCTTAAGGAGAATGAAATACAGTTGCACATGATCTATGCTTCAGAAGAGAAAGAGGTTAATGAGTGGAGTATAAACGCAATAGAGACAGAGGAAAAACAATGTATTCCGTCTGAGATAGAAGATCTCATTTTGCAGTACAAAGATATCTTTGAGGAGCCCAATTCTTTACCTCCATTTCGTGATAACCATAACCACAAGATTCAATTGATGGAAAGATTTAACCCTGTCAATCAGAGACCTTACCGTTATGCACTTTATCAAAAGAATGAGATTGATAAAATGGTTCAAGAGTTGCTTAAAGCAGGAACTGTGCAACCAAGTGCAAGTCCATATGCTTCTCCTGTGGTGTTGGTCAAAAAGAGGATAACACATGGAGACTTTGTGTTGACTATAGGAAACTTAACATGATGATGGTGAAGGATCGGTTTCCCATACCACTTATTGAGGATCTTATGGACGAGTTTGGTGGTTCTATGGTCTATTCTAAGATTGATTTGAGGGCAGGTTATCACCAAGTGCGCATGGAGCCTGAGGATATTCATAAAACAGCTTTTAGAACTCATAGTGGGCTTTATGAGTATGTGGTCATGCCATTTGGACTCACAAATGCACCAGCTACATTTTAGGGTCTTATGAATGACGTGTTCCGCAGCTGTTTGAGGAAGTTTGTGCTAATATTTTTTGATGAAATTTTGATATATAGCGCATCAGTGGAGTTACACTTATCTCACCTGCAAGTGGTGTTTGAGTTGATGAGAAAAAACAGGTTGTTCGAAAAACGGTCGAAGTGTGCTTTTGCTACAGAGAAGGTAGAATACTTGGGTCATTTTATTCAGGCAGAGGGAGTATCCACTGATCCAAGCAAGATTAGAGCAGTAACAGAGTGGCCAACACCCAAATATTTAAAAGCATTGAGGGGGTTCTTGGGGTTTGGCTGGTTACTACAGGAGATTTGTGCAACATTTTGGTCTTCTTCGGAGGCCATTGATTGTATTAACTAAGAAAGATGGGTTTCAGTGGAACGAAGAAGCTCAAGAAGCATTTGAGAAACTGAAAAAGGCTTTATGTACAACACCAGTCATTGCATTACCTCAGTTTGATAAGGACTTTGTGGTTGAAACTGATGCTTGTGGGTCTGGAATCGGAGCTGTACTAATGCAGGAAGGGCATCCCTTGGCTTACATAAGCCGACATTTGAAAGGCAAACAACTCAACTTGTCTATCTATGAAAAAGAGCTCTTGGCTGTGGTTTTTGCGGTTCAGAAGTGGCGTCACTATCTGCTGACGAATCACTTCACTATTAAAACTGATCAGAGAAGCTTGAAGTACCTTCTAGAGTAGAGATTGAATACTCCTATTCAGCAATAGTGGTTACCCAAGTTGTTGGAGTTTGACTATGAAATCCAATACAAACAGGGTAAAGACAACATTGCTGCAGATGCTTTGTCTAGGATGGAAGATGCAGAGATCCTTCACATGGCAATGACGGTACAAGACTTACTCAAAAAAATCCAAGAAGCGTCCATGAGGGATCCAGTTTACGAGGGTTGATAGAAGAATTAAAAGTCAAACCTGATGCTAGAAGATAATTCTCTTGGAGTCAAGAAGTGTTAAGGAGGAAAAGTAAAATAGTCGTTCCTAATGTGGCAGAGGTGAAGGATATAATCTTGGAAGGGCTACATGGTTCGAGTCAGGGTGGTCATTCTGGTCGTGATGTAACTATAAGGAGAGTGAAGGGGCTGTTTTACTGGAAAGGAATGTCTAAGGACATTCAGAATTACTTGAGAAGTTGCAGCCTTTGCCAACAATGTAAGTATGATAACTCTGCTTATCCTGGTCTTCTTCAACCACTACCCATTCCTGAGGCGGTATGGATTGATATTTCGATGGATTTCATAGATAGTTTGCCAAAATCTTTTGGTAAAACGGTTATCTTGGTTGTGGTTGATCGGTTGAGTAAGTCTGCCCATTTTTTGGCACTATCTCATCCTTATACAGCAGCTTCAATCGCACAAGTTTTCTTGGATCAGGTCTACAAGTTGCATGGTTTTCCAGGCTCCATTGTTAGTGACCGTGACACTGTGTTTCTGAGCGAGTTTTGGCAGGAATTGTTTAAGCTTCAGGGATGTGCTTTGCATACTTCTACTGCTTACCATCCCCAAAGCGATGGACAGACTGAAGTTGTTAACAGGTGTGTTGAGACGTATTTCCGTTGTATGATAGGGGGAAAAACATATATGTGGGTGAAGTTTCTTCCTTTGGCTGAGTATTGGTATAACACCAACTTCCATACGGCAACACAAGTGACACCTTATGAGATTTTGTATGGACAAGCTCCTCCTGTACACCTCCCTTATCTGCCAGGAGAATCAAGGATACAAGTTGTTGCGAAGTTTTTGGAAGAAAGGGAGAAGACTTTATTGATTCTCAAGTTTCATTTGATGCGGGCTCAACATAGGATGAAACAACAAGCAAATAAACATAGGAGTGAACGGCAGTTTGATATAGGTGATTGGGAATACGTGAAGCTTCAGCCTTACAGGCAACA